CCTCCCCTCCCCTGTCCTCCCCTCTTCTCCTCTCTCCTCTCTCCTCTCTCCCTCCCTTTCCTTCCCTGTCTCTTCCTCTCTGTGCTGAGTGGTTACTTTGCTGCTTGACTCTGATGTTGTTTACATATAAAATGACGCAATTTCTCCAAGACTGTAAACCTTTATATGCAAAGCTATGTCTTCACTAGTGCACTCACAACTGTTCTTCCTCCTGTTTTACAGCCCCTGCAAGTTCCCTGAGAGTAGGCACAGCAGCTGTAGTTGTTTACATCCCAGTATCAGCAAGGCTAGCTCGGTTTCCCCACAATTAACAGTAGCTAAGTCTTGATGAAAAGCAGAGCATAGGAATGACAGTGCTAATACAGAGACACATAATGTGGGTATTCAGAGATGCACACAGAACCACTGCACTAATCATCTTTTCTTAGCCAGTTCTATCCAAGTCATCTTCTACTGGCATTTCCCCCTAATTGCAGGGAGCATTCAGTGCCCAGGATTTTACTGACACTTTCCAAGCCAGTTCCTGCATTCTTATGGCAAAAGGCCAGATCAAAAGAAAGATTTATTAAGTGACTACAATGGTTCTTACACAAAAATCCAAGATCACAATCCAAAAATACTCTTCTCAACAGCTGTCTAACTGTGAAGGTCACTAAGTTTGCTATCTACCTCTCTGCCTCCATTCTGCTGAGTGCTCTCTTCGATAGGCTACAGAGCCTTTTCTTCCTGGCATCCCTATCTTCTTATTGGTGCACTTTTCTGCATAAAGACTTCTTTAGCAGAATGCATTCTTAAAGAGGCAAAACCACACACCACCCTGCAAAATAGTGGCTAGGAACTTTTTTTAGAGGTGAACTACACCACATGAATTGCCATAAGACAGAGAAAGGAGAACAGGTACAGGGGTTCTCACTCTGCTAAAGAATTCTGGATCAGATCAGAATGGACATGCTGGTTCATATTACGTCTTCTCTGGGAAAACATGGGGCTTTGGGCACATTTCTTATAAGTCCTGTTCATTGCACAGTTGGGCTCCCTTTCTAACACGTCTGATTCTCCTCAGGTTTTCTATGAGGAGCCTATTTACTTAATTCTGGACTTTGGGTTCCCTTTTGGGAAGTTAGTGTTTAAATGTTTGATCTTAAATCCACAATAAACTATCAAAAATGGTTTTGTTCATACAGGTATGTGTTCACTGAAAGAAATAAATATTACAGGCATGCAAGTGACGGGTCAGAATCAGTCCTTAGTCCCTTTGTCAGAATTAAAAGGAGGCAGAAGTAGCTTTGAGAAGCTCTGGCCAGCACTTTCAAGGGACCAGAAGCTTTGTACCCCCGCACATTTCCAATTTTGTAACCTTTAGCACGTGTCATGTAAATGAAGTGCTGGAGATAATGCTCACAGCAGAAAGAACAGTGTCAGAAATCCTCCTCTGCTCTAAGGTACTGTGAGGCATAAACAGCCTACTGACAGCACAGTGGGGAGGATTTCCTAAATCACAGCACCCTCTCAGACTGCTGACTTATACCTATGGGCCACAAAGCCCTAAACTTCACCTAAATGCAGAAAGCAGTAAAGAAAAAGCCAAGGTCACTTTGTCCTTACTCTCCAAGCTACACTTACTGCAAGTTTCCTCCTGAGACTTAGAGCAGGGAATCTGGCACATCACCATCACGTAAGCATTTCAATTAACCTCGATTCACAGCTTCACTTCTGTCTTCACAGCGCATCCAAGAAACTGCAAAATTACATTATTAACAAAAGCAATGCTAGTTAGCTCAGGAGAATTATGTAAGCAATTAAGAGCCAGGCAGAGACCAAGTCCTACATTATCAGGACACACCCAGGCATTATGCAGCCACTTTTGTTTCACACCTCTTTTACTTGATTCTCTGGTATTTGTGATTAAGATACTGAATTGAACAGAGCAACAGACAGTACCAGCTGACAGTTCTGTATTTATCAGCTATAAATGCTGTTTGAAAGAGTGGGAAGCAGATACCTGGCATACCTATGAGATACAAAGGTATATTTCTTCCCAAGTAGAAGAGTAGATGTAGGCCTTTACCTACAAAGTTTACCATATGAAGACATTTTCTTTAACATTTGCTTGATTACTTTGGTTTGCATTTAATTATATAGATGGCTGAGTGGTTTTGTAATTTTATAGCTGGCCTGTGCTAGTAATTGATGTGGTAGTGTCATTCTTACTGAAGGCTGGTTTGGAAATGCATAGGGTTTGAAAAGCTGCTTGTATTTAAAGCCATTAGTTGCGATGCAACCGATGCTGTACTATGAATTAAATGAAAGAATGTTAAATAACGTTGGGGTTTTTTTGTGGACTTTACATAACTGTAGTATTTGCCCCAATATAACACTGGAATCAGTAAATCAATGATGAAGATTGTGGCTGACTTTGTGAGTTGTTCAAAAACATGAGCTTTTATATGTCCTAGATACACAAGTCATATACCTTCCTTCCCATTTGTTTTCATTAACGCAAAATGAAGAAAACTAGGTTTATTTTTAATCCAGAAAAATAATTCATTAACCCTTAGACTGACTGAACACTAGTATGTGAGAAAGGAAAATTAAAAAAACAAAAAAGCCCAACCCCTGCCCCCAATAAACTTATATTCCTTTCCATCCCTATTTCATATTTATGAATCTAAAAGTAAAGAAACTCTCACCCTAATGAAATAAATCTATGTTATTTTCTGGAGGTAGAATGATGATCTTTAGCTACACCCTCCAAAGTCTCTAGACCTCATTATCTGAAAAACCATTTCTTGTCCTATTTCCATCACAGCGACAACCATCTATGTCAGTGGAGCATCCCAGGCGAGTGACGTTAGTTATATACCTTTGCCTGTAGCAGTTTGACATGGTTTAATTTTGGAAGCTTTCAAAGACTCTGTATTTGCTTGGACTATTGAGGTGGAGGGGTTGTTCTTACTCTGTTGTCACAATTTGGTTCTCATTTGGGATGAGAGTCGCTTCATGTTGCTAGACAAAGGTAGTCCATGATATCACTTAATTCTTCTATACATCTGTTTTCCCATATGCAAAACACAAAAATGGACTACATCCACACGAGATGCTAAACCTAAGTTTTAGAGATCCCACCAATTAGTAGAATCAACTCCTCTGTCAGTAGTGCTCTTATGTTCTCCTCTCAATATCTGCAGAGAGCCTAAGAAGAGGATTTGCAAAAGCCATACTAAGCAAGCAGCAAGTGCTAAAAGCATAGCACATGCACACATGAGTAGTTTGTCTCCTTTTTCTTTTGCGATAGATAGTAGTGAAAGCATGCCTGAGGTCCAGAGCCAAATCCCTCTTCTTCCTGAAAAGGCTTGGTCCCTATGGAATACCATAAAGGAATGACCTGAAGGGGATGGCTTTTAACCAATAAGCCTCATTTACCAACTTCTTAAATATCTGTTCCTAAAAATGCAGCCAGTACTGAAAACAGTCAACAGCAAATTCCCTACTGCATCAGGACACCTAAAACATATTTGGACTGTAGACACCTAAAGAGTTAAATGGCTTTTTAGGGAGCAGAAAGAGAGGTGAAGGATCCAATTGTGGCCTCTAGGCTTAAAGCTGCAGCATGCATGCTGGAAGGCTTGGACTTTGCCTTAAAAAACATGGTAAATAGCATTTGACAAGTCACTGCATCAGACTTCAAAACTAGCATACACAGACTGGGTAGAAACAGTTCTTCCTTAGATGGTCATTGTTAGGCATAGGTGAGAGATATACGCCACTGAAGGCAGAAAAGGTAGAACTGCAAAAAGACCACAGAAGGTGGTGTTATTTTTCCTTTAGGGCACATTAAAAAACAGTGTTTTTTGCAAATACTGAGAGAGGGATCTGGCTTTCTCGGTACCCTTTTTGTCACTTATAACCAATATAAAGCAATAAAGCTTCTGATGATGATTTTGTTGGGGATTTGTGTCATACAAAGGAATTCAGCAGACTGCCGTTGTCAATTTGTCCCTGTAACAGACTAAAACTTGTTTAGTCAGTAAACAGATATGTCCTGAAGGCTGGAGGAACAGATCTATTGGGCAAGAATTTCAAGAAGGTACTGTTTCTACACACTTGCTTTTGAAGTCACAATCACACTTTTTTTTTTCTATGTAAAAAAGGCTGTAATGCTTATTTAAGAATTTCTTTGTTACCTTTGTTTAGATAGCACTCTCAACAATGTCACTAAATCATATAAGCTAGGTAAAGATTAGTTTTTACAAAGCTTATTTCATAGATAAGAAAAAATGAGGAAAAGAGAAGCACCTAGCCTATACCAAGAGGAAACTGAGAAGAGAGCTTAGCTCTTCATATAACCTGGTGCTTGACTCCAAGCTCATTGAAATCACCCCCAAAATCGCTGTTGACATGAGCAAAACCTAGCACAGGCTTCTTATCAATCACTTGAAACACACTCCCCAAGTTTACTCTGTTGTCCAAGCCTATTTTAAATCCCTTCTTAAAAAAAACTGAAACGTTTCTGCTGTGCCACTTACAAGAAATTAGCCAATTAATTGGCTGTAAATGAAGAAATCATGTTTATTTTAGGTAATTTAGAGCTTTTAACTTGTGCTTGGGTGTGTAACTTCATGATCCTACCAGTACCACGTTCTAACCCCAGTAGCAACCCAACTCGTTGTTGCACCTAGTTCTTTTATCTCACAGCAAAGTAAACTGCTCAAGGAAACTATGTGATTTTTTTGTAGTGTTGCAGTTTAAGCAGATCTTAATCTGTTTTGGAGATGAAGCAGTCCTAAGATATAAATAACCAGTGCCTCTCTCAAACAGATTTTCACCAATTCCTTCAGGAAACTCACAAACTCAATGTGATTCACTGAAAGAAGTGTGAGTCATAGTGCCCAATTTGACTTTTCAAAATGTTCATGTGTGTGTGTATTTCTGTCAGGTTTGAGGATTTTGATTCAGGATACTGTAAAAACAGAATCCAGTTATGGAGTTTGGGTTGATATTCAGAACAGACCTCCCCTTGAGTCGGGGCCCTGACTCAGAATATCACTGAGAGTGATCTCGCTCAAAGCCATGTGAGTGACTCACATATTTACTTCTCTCTGACTCCCTCTCTTCTTCCTTTCAAGTTAAAATGTTGGGCCATTTTTCTGACATCAGCTCACTGACATCCAGCTATCAGCTGAAAGTCAACACAGTAAAATGATAACCTTTCCTCCCTGAGGTCCCTCCACTTCAGCGAATGGCACTTCCATGGTCTCTCTTGTTCTGCCCTGTAACATCTGCCCAGTAGCCACATCTCTGGAGCATCTCTGCCATCCAACTCACCACTGCCACCCCTGCAGCCACAACTTGGGCATCAGTGACACCCTCCCTGCTCCAGCCTCTCTTGCCTGTGTCTGGTAAACAGCATCCTGATCCCTCAAAGTGCCCACCCAGTGTGGTGAGGTGGCTCTACCCACCTCTAGCACAGTGTGGAGGTTCATCTTCCTCAGGGTGCACAGGGGTGGTCTGCACCTTCCCCAGCACCATCTAGTTCTCTCTCCATCCTCCCTCTCATACACGTAGGATATACACATAGGAGAGGGGTGGAGCACCTCTCCAAAAGAAAAGGCTTAGAGAATTTGCATTGTTCAGCTTGGAAAAGAGAAGGCATCAGGGTGACCTAATTGCTGCCTTCCAGTACCTGAAGGGAACTTTAAGGAAAGATGGGGCAAACTATTTACAAGAGCATGTAGTGACAGGACAAGGGTGAATGGCTTCAAATAGAAAGGGAGTAGGTTTAGATTACACAGTAGGAAAAAATTCTTTGCTGTGAGGGTAGTGAGGCACTGGAACAGGTTGCCCAGGGAAGTTGTGGATGCCCCATCCCTGAAAGTGTTCAAGACCAGGTTGGATGGGGCTCAGAGCACCTGGTCTAGTGGAAGGTGTCCAGGGAGGTTAGAACTAGACGATTTTTAGGGTCCCTTCACCCAAACCATTCTATGATTTAATGACTCACGCCCTGAGCACTGCTGCTCTACCGGAAACGCTGCTTGCACACTTTCTCTAATGTCAGGAGGCTTTTGGTTTTGTTTTTTCCCCGCGTGTTTCACGGTGCGCGGGCAGAGCGAGTTCCCTGTGCCCGAATGCAGAGAGCCGTTCCCCTGCGCGGCCGCCCCGCCCGGGCCCGGCCGCTGCCCCGCTGAGCTCAGGGTTATCGTGGGCTTGTGAGTGAGCGCCGAGCAATGCGCCGCTCGCAGCGGGGCCTTGTGGGTAGGGGAGGCCGCCTGCGCGGGGCTGGGGAGCGGCGGCCGCGCCGGGCCGGGCCGGGCGGACCGCGGGGTGAGCGGTGAGGGAGGGACGGAGCCGGAGCGGCGAGGCCGGCGGGGATCGCGGCTCCCGCCCGGGCAGCCAGCGAGCGCTGCAGAGGGAGCCGCGCTCTGAGCCCGACTCCGCGGCGGCCGCTCCCCTTTCCCCTCCTGCCTCCCTCTCTCCGCCCGCAGCGATGTCCCGGCGGAGCGGGCACTGAGCCGGCGGCCGCCGAGGGACGCCCCGAGCGGGGAGAGGCGGGGGCACGGCGGGAAGCGCTCCGTCCCTCCTTCCCTCCCTCCCTCTCAGTTCTCCCCTCCCCTCTCCCCGCGCCCGGGCGGAGCAGCGGCCGTTTCCCCGCGCCCTTCATGCCCGGGCGGCGGCCACCGGCGGCGCTGCCCTCCGCTCCCGCCTCGCCGCCCCCGCCCTTCCCCGGGATCGCCGCCGCGCTAGGCCCGCCCGGCGGCCCCGCGCAGTGCCCTCCGCGGGCCCGGCACTAGGCGGGCCGGAGGATGAGCCAGCAGCCGGCGGGGAAGATGTCGGCGGCTCCCCTGGCGGCCGAGGCGCCGGAGCCGGCGGCGGGGATGCTCGAGGGCCGCCAGAGGAAGCTGGAGTCCATGATCCGCGACCCGCGCTCCCCGGTCAACGTGGAGAGCCTTCTGGTGAGGGGCGGCCACGCCCGGGGGCAGCGCTCGGCGGGGGAACAAAGGGAGCGTTGCCCTCGCCTCGGCCGGGCGGGAGGGAACGGGAAGGAAGGAAAGAGCTCCCGCGTCCTGAGAGAGCTTTTCCTGGGGGAGGACGAGAGATCCTCTCCACGCCCCCGGCCCGGCTACCGGCGGCGGGGAGGTGGCGGGATCGGCCCTCGCCCCCCGGGGCTGTGCTGGGTGAGGGGACGGACGCGGCGCCGTGAGAGGGGAGCGAGCGCTTCCCGGTTAGGTACATCTTATTGTGGGGGAAGTGAGAAATGTCCCCGGCGAGATCTGACCGGGGGAGGAAAGCGCCTTGTTTTCTCGCCCAGCATCGTTCACACCGTTCCCTTTCGCGCCTCGTAATCACGGCGTGCCCGTCCCCAAAGTACCTGCCTTTGTGTGCGCTGAGGGCACCCATCGCTCACCCCCTCCAAAACGTCCTCTGGTAAAGATGAGGTTGCTGTGTGATGTGGAAATAATTCAGGAAAAGGACACGCCTAAGGGAGAAATGTAACTGGGGGGTCCTGTGGGGTCACGTTTATTTTCCACTGGGGCAAATTGATTCGTCTTGTCTCCTGTTTCAAATAGCATTTTTCTGTGTGAGTGTATGAAATATAATTTACTTTAGTAAGAAATTTGTGCCCTCGGGAAGAAGTGGGAAGGGAGTTAGATTTCCCCATTTAAAACATTAAAACTCTGAAAAGGCAGTAAGAGATTATTATTGTTGTTGTTATTATTATCATTATCATTGTTATTATCGTTATTATTGTCGCTATTATTTTAACTGAACTTTAGAGTCTTCAAATCTTATATTTCCAATGTGTCCGAGTTATGAGAAGCAGAAAAGGGGAGAATAAATCCCAGGCCTTCCAAGAGTTGCTAAAGGCACTTACACTGTGTCCTTTTTTTTTTTCTCTCCTACTTTCAAATAGCTCAGTTCTGTTTGGCCAAAAATACAGGAACTGACTGAACAGTATGTATGCCTGTGCTGTGTGGAGAATATAGGAATTTCCTATAACATCTGAAAAATGTTCTTCCTGAGGCTGTAGTGCTGTGTTACTCCTCTTATAGATGTTCAGAGGCATAATGACAGCCATAGTCAGTGGAGGGGAGTGGGAAATAGCGCTACAGATGTGACTGGGTTCAGATAAGTTTTTGCCTAGGCCAAAGCAAAGAGAGCTGCCTCTGGGCTTCGCTCCCAGCATTTTCACTTTGGTATTTTGCTAGGAAAACTTTGACCTGTGGCCAAAAAAGAGAAGTTAAAAATAGTACAGTCGTTCTGAAAAATGCATCAGGTTAATACTTAACCCCAGTAGACTTTTTCACACTCTGCTTTTATACTCAACAGTGTGATTCTAGTATTGTCTCGCCTCTTGTACCTTGGACATAGATTAAATACACTGAAATATGTTTATGTTTCTGAAGAGAAATTCTAACTGCAAAATTGAGACTGAGTTGCTTAGAACTTGATTCTGTTTGTTTGTTTGTTTGTTTTGTATGCTTACAATGTAGACCACTTCATGTAACACATTGGGCAAATTAGCAAACCATAGGAGAGTGTTAGTTGGATTGTAAATGCATTTTTAAGCACCTTTTAATGCTAAAGGTCATCACTTTGCTGTGCACTCTGTAAGTATTGTTTAAAAAATTAGCAGCAAGTAAAATCTAACACTAATCAATCAATTATCCTAGCTTGTGCACTCTCTTTGTCTGTGTATTAAATAATTTACTGTTTATCATTCTTATTTATGAAATTTGCAATGGATTTCCTGTGAAAGCTTTTTCTTTAGGGCTTTAGTATTGTTGGTTTATGCTGTTTGACTTTAATTTTGTATTTGCATGCTGCTAAGCAGTCTGAATGTGAAAATATCATATTCATATTAAAAAATATACCTGTTTACTAAACAGCTTACTTTCAGTGTAAATTATCATAAGTGGAAATGTATTTTTAGTTTAAAGTAGAAATGCAGCAACAGAAACTAAGAGTCAGGGAAAACATCTTAAAAAGACTAGCTGGAATGCCACTATTTCATCTTCCAAAAATAACATAACCAAAACTAAAAATGAGGAATGGAATTCAAAATGGAATTCATTTCCTTACAGTGTAAAAAGTCATAAACAGCTGCTATTCTGCATTTTGTGTGCATGCTTTATTTTTAGGAAGCCATAAAAAGTGAAAAAGTAACTCTTAATCTACAACACATGGTGTAAATTTGAAAGCCGTGAAAAGCTGAGGTAATAAGCTGTCTTACTCTAGATACCAATTTCACTGCCTATCAAGAGCTGTTTCATTCAGTGGCTCTAAATGAAGAGACTTCCTTTGTGTACCTCCCTGGCCAGAGGATGGCTGACCACATCCATTTCTTCAGCAGGAGAATCTATAAAGCCAAATACATTGATTATGTTCCTTCCACCCCCCCTCTGGGGCTCAGGAGAGACCATTAGATTTTCTGATGTGATTTTTGCTATATTATATGCATTAAAACTTGTTATTTATGCTTGTGTAGAGCATAATCGTTTGTGTGTGATTAAAGTCTATCTTTCAAATAGACATGCATTCTCAATTCAGAGGCATAAAGAGATGGAGAACTCACCATTTAGTTTGTCCTCATAGTTAGTTTTGAAAGCAAAATACCCCCTCCCCCTAGATTGAAATGTACAGTATGGTTGTCACCATCCTTTTTCTGCTTAAAAAAGGGAAAAAAAATCATAGAGGGCTTTCTACTCATAGCATAGGTCAGATGTGCAGCCTGTGCTTGGTGGGGTTCTTCTGGCTTTGGTCTGATAAAGAGATGAAAATGGGAATGCTAGAACTGTATACTCTGTTCGGTGACAGGTTCCACCAAAACATCTACAAAGGGAAGTGATTATTGCAACCTCATTCAGATGTCAACCAAGTGCTCCTTTTCTCATTGTATTGTGTTGAAAGCCTGTTGTTAGGTTGCCTCTGCTAAGATAAATAACTTTGTTGTCACAGCTCTTACTCTTTTTGGTCATGTAACATTGCATTAGTGGTTATGAAAACCTGTTCTGTGTATTACATTTAGATGGTGCAGATCGCTTTGTAAAGCTACCATATTCTTGCTATTTGCTTTTCTGCCAGCTGGGTCATCCACTAATTTAACCAAGTGACATTTTTATGTGTACTGCATGTACACATGGATGATAGCACGTAATGGTATTTGACCTTGGGTGATCTATAAGAAACCCATCTATAAATACATTCCTACTGAATAGTACCTAATTGACAACTACATTTAAGGAGAGCTTAATGGTTCTCAAATACATTTGTGTATTTATGTTTTTGCATATAAACTCCATCTACAGTATTAACTGAGTTATTTTCTGTAGTATTCAATACACATTATTCAGGGGTGCGTTGGCAAGTGTTAGCTGAACACTTACTGTGTTCTAAAACTAGAGCCAGATAGGTCACTGTAGGCTGTGGAAAACTAATCCAGACATCCACTTCCTTGCCCTGTGTAATTGTATCACTGCAGCATATGCTGAAATCAACTTTAGTGTTGTATGGTGGTGACGAACAGCTCAGATAAATCTTATCATCCTCCTCCCTGCAGTGGTCTGCCTGGGCCTTCTGCTGGGGCTCCAGTCAAGGGTGGTTGCCCAGAGAAAGGGTCTGGTGTCTGCCCCTGGACTTGTTTAGTGTAAGCCTCAGGATTTTAGTGTTAAACTTTGGCCTTACACTGGTGGTGTAAAATGTTGACTATATTCTGCCTGCTCTGCTGTGGTTGCTATGTGAGCCTTTGAGAGAAAGGGCTCTTAAAACTGTCAATTAGACAGTGCAGCAGTGAAATCGTGAGCACAGTGTTGGGCTACACTGGGAATGCAAGCAGAGTGGACTGAGAAATGGAGAGATGATTAGCAGGAGAGTGCTCAAGTGTCTCACAATATACATGCCTTAGAACCTAAAAAATCCAAACCCACAAACCAACACTGAACTAATTTGCCATTTATTTTTTGTTAAAATAAAGCTGGCAGGTAAACTGTGTGTTTCCACTAGTCTGAACATGAATAATGTTCATCTGTGTTGACCCTTGCTACTGAGACCCTGGAATTTTACTCTTAATGAAAAGTGGGTTGCAGATACAGCTGTGACTCTCATCCTTTCAATAGGTGCATCTGTCCATAACGATCTCATCAATTAAGTGGATGCCAACTTTGTACCAAGAGTGTTAATTGAGCAGATCCCTAGACTGAGCTCTGTTAATAGGGGGTCTCCAGGTCATCATGGCCGACACAATGTATCCCTTCGTAGGATTTTGGCCTTATGGGCTTTCTAAGTGTTTCATATTTAACATGAAAGTCGTTTTGTTTTCCTGAATTTATTGCCGCATAGTTTTGAATCAGCAAGAGCAATCTGTTGTGTTAATTTGAGCCAGGAAGTATGGGGAAGAGCTGAAACTGTAGCAGTTTGCAGGATCTGATCTAAAATTTGTTGCCCAGTAAGTAGTCAGAAGGCCAGATGATTCTCTGTTCTTGAAGAAATAATCTTTCCTTGTTTGTTATATTTCTTGTGCTGTTATTTTTCTATTAGTTTCTGACTCTTTCTATAAATTTTCTATTTTTGATCTGTAATTTTAGAGCATCTACTGCAGAGTTGAAAAAAAATGATCTTTAAGGAAACAGAATTGTCTTTTGTTCATTGTTCCCCTCTGATGGATTTATATATAGCAGTATAGTTAGCTGGAAAAGGACAGTTCTATTTTCTGACAGCTTTACCTGTTCTTATATTCTGTCTTATTCCACACTAGGATCAAAGTATTTCACTTGAAGTGTAAGAAAGCAAAAAGAACATTTTGCTCAGCTTCAGTACTTTTACTGCCATACAAGGTGCTTGCAGATATTGTGTATGTGTATTCACAAGAGGAATGTTCACTCCCAGTATTTCATCTGTATTGATCAGATTGCAGTGTGTCATTTGTACCCTGTAGTTGTTCAGTCTCTTTAACAAC